GAGAGAGAGAGAGAGAGAGAGAGAGAGAGAGAGAGAGAAAAGAATGAAATAAACATGTACAAACATGTGGAAATTGCTCTTGCCTTAAAAAAAAGCAATATAGAAAAACCCCCACAAAAATCCCGGCATCACATTTCATTGGCATAGTCCCCCAGATCGATTTACTAAGCTCTATTTAAGAAAAATCAATGAACTAGTGCACTCAGCAGAAAAATGATGATATTCTCAAGCCTGGTTGATCGTATTGCCTTTAGAACATGATCTTTTTTTTATATCTTTGTTGCGGCACTTGCAGCACAGTTGGGTCATTTAACTGCCGAAGATTAAAGGTGTTACCTTTACAATAGAGTAACGTGCAAAGGACAGGAAAGATAAAGACGGCAATACTGCCCTAAGCTGACAAACGCCTTTTTTTCATTTTTGTGGCCAAATTTTTTATTTTATTTGCTAAATTGGTAGCCTGGACAGTTACCGTACTTATATGAAAAAAAATGTGAAGCTGTGACTACTGTTTGAATAAATTAGTATTCTAATTTCGGAAGAATCCTTCTTTTACATGATTACACTGACGAAACGCCCTTTATCTCGAAACTGTTGTGAATATAAGAAAAAGGCGTTCTGTCAGCGTGCGGCAGAGTATGTTTGATAGAAAAGAAGGAGCACACCACACAAGAGAACCCGTCAACCACCCACCGGACGTGGGCTGAAAGGGGAAAGGTTTCGAGAGGTTGATTTGAAAGGGGTACGCCCCCTTCGACCGAATTTAGGTTCTTTTTAGGAGGCGGGCTGCTTCGATTTTGTATGTCAGGGACAACCCGGGCTGAATGGGTTACACCGTCCCAGCAGACAGACGAAGATACATGTACTCGATAACTGCTTTGGTAAGCCTTATTTCTTCTTCTTTCCCTCTGCTGCTTCTGTCCGTCTATGTAGATGTGGTTGGAAGGCGGCACTGGTAGCTCTTAATTTTTCTTTTTCCTTCTGTTGTTGCAATGTGTCTGTCTTGCTTTTCCTATCACAAGAATGACTTTTATTAAGTCTAGATCTATGAGCTTCTCTTTACTTCAAAATTCAACTTTAGGGATACTAACATGTTCTTAAGCACAGTTGAATTGTGAGTGCGCTGATTTATCAATGTCATGCCCGTATTGTGCCGGAACAATATAGGGGGAACTGATGCTCTTTTTTTCCCCTCACTATCGCCATTTGCCTCTACTTCTTTTATATGTTTGTCGCTCTCTTATGAACTGTTATTTCCTGGGTGCCTTGATAGTCGAAGCAGACTTTGTGCTGTTGAGGCTACGGAAAATGAGCAGAGTGAGCCTGATTCCCCGTTTGGACATATCAGTTGACATCCACCCCTTGCCGTTCATATGACCTTGTGCAGTTGCGAGCGTCGTAAAACCTTACTAAAAAAGACTTCAACCTTCGTCAAACTTAATGGCTGTTAATATTGTTTCTTACAGTTCGACGTTAAACAAACTAAATGGCGTGGGTGGTTGGCAGGTGCTCAGGCGTGGTTTGCTCCCTCTTTCCTTTCGTACATCTGTTGTCCTTATCTCCCCTCCTTAATTTTTTAGGTATTTGTTACTCTCTTGTAAAACCTCTAATCTTCTTCACTTATATGATCTTATTGAGTTACAAGTGCCGTAAAACTCTTACGAAAACTAAAAGAGAATGACACATAATAATATCACGTCGATGTGCTCCTCTTTACTTCAACCGTCATCAGATTCAAAGACTGCTATTATTTCGAACTGTTTCTTGTTATTCGAATTAAATGACCATTATTATGACAATGTTCTTCTCTTTACTCCAGAAAACTTAATGGCTGTTATTTTATCGATGTTCTTCTTTTCAGAAAACTAACAGATCGTTATTATATCAAGGTTTACTTTACTCCCGAAAAAGAAAACATGTAGCCATTAGCCATTATTTTTTTCAAAGCTCTTCGTTTACCCCAGAAAACTAAATGGCGGTATTTTACACACACACACACACACACACACACACACACACACACACACACACACACACACACACACACACACACACACACACACACACACACACACACACACACACACACACACACACACACACACACACACACACACACACACACACACACACACACACACATATATATATATATATATATATATATATATATATATATAAACTAATAAATATTCATTATTGTGTCGATGTTTTTTTCTCTTTACACCAGCAAATCAAACTTAATAACCGCAGGGTGTCGAAGTTCTTCTCTCTACTTCAACAAACTAAATTAAATAACCGTCATTGCCTCAAACTGCTTCTCGTAACTCTACCTAAAGGACCGTGTTGTGTCGATGGGCTTCTCTTTACTTTTAACAAACCTTAATGTATCGATATACTCCTCTTTAATTCAACTAACTAAATACCCGTTATTGTGTCAATGCGCTTCCCTTCTCTAGGGCAAACTAAAAAACAAACAAACCCCAAAGGATGGTTATTTATTCGATCTGCTTTTCTTTACTCTTACTAAACTGTCTTGTAGAAAAGAACCCCAGAATTTCCAACAAATCAGAAATAGGAATCAGTAAATAGTTCAGTTTTGTACAGTTGAACCAAAGATAGTACAGCCTACGGTAGGCTGTACCATATTTGGCTGAACAACCTTCCGTTGCTCAGATTGAGCATGCATGCATGTAAATTGCCGTGTATATCGTGGTATTATTCTTGCCACCTCTCCTTCTCTCCCCACCCCCAAGCTGCCATTGCTTAACTTCCACATGGTTTTTTTTTCGTGAGGTTAAATAATAGTTCATGGTTGAAAGGAAGTAGCTTTTGGCTGAATTGAACGACTAGACAGCGCCTTACTTAAATCTCGCGAGCGCTGAGTTCAGGCGAACTGTTAATGTCGTGATAACATTGAAAGAGCAGGTGTACAATAATAATATATCACAAGAGTTTGGTTACCTTTCAGCTCACTGGATTAAAAAAAAAGTGTATATAGTTACTTATAAGTGCTGTAGCTCTGTGCCCTTTCTTGGGGGGGGGGGGGGTTATCTTAGTTGCATTTTAGTATTTTATCACTCTTTTTATTTTCGTCGTCATATTGACCTCTCAGTACTTTAACTGGCACCCCCCCCCCCGCGCGCAAACACACAGACACTACACATGAAATAGAAACATTGTTAGGATAAATAAAAAGAAGTAATCTTATTGTGTATGTGTGTGTGTGTGTGTGTGTGTGCGTGTGTGTGTGTGCGTGTGCGTGTGCGTGTGTGCGTGTGCGTGTGCGTGTGTGAGTGTGTGTGTGTGTGTGTGTGTGTGTGTGTGTGTGTGTGTGTGTCTGCGCGCGCGCGCGTGCGTGTGTGCTTTCTTGCGTGATGTAACGGTTCGGCGCTTCAGTGTTGCGCAGAGGAAACCCGACTTCGATTTCGAGTGATAAGTATTTTTCGAATATATCTGTCTTTCTGCTGGGATGTTGTATCCCTCTCGCCCGGACCGGCCTGACATGAAAATTCGCTTGCCCGCCTCCAAAATGATCTACATTGTGTCGATGGGGGCTTCAACACTTACACTAAAGCACGGAAAAAGCACAAAAAACAAGGAAAAAAACCAAAACAACAACAACAACAACACACACACACAAAACAAAACAACAACAATAACAACCCCCCCAACCCCCCCCCCCCCCAACTACTAACAACAACAACGACAACAAACAATCAAACGGTAACAAACAAGCAACAACAACAACAACAAAACAGAACGTTTGATGTTTGAGTTGCAGACCCTGTTTCTGATGTATTTCCCTTTGTTTTCTATTCATAGATTAAAGACCTGGAAATAATGACGTACACAATGCAGAATCGCCGATCACGTGACTGGTTCAGAGAAGAACCCACAGTTGCAAGTGTAGGGCGTGGAGCCCATAGATTTCCAAACCCAGAACATGTTTGACTGACGCTGTTGTCAGCCATGAGCGATGAGAGGTTTTCTTTGTACAGCGAAAAGGCGAAACATCAGCAACTACAGGCCCATACAAAAAGCGGCGATCAGACGAGGAACTGCATGAGACAGACTTTTGAAACAGTGGAACGAACAGAGGAAGAAGCCTTAGATTTCTCTATCCGGTCGTCACACTGTGAGCGAAAAGTTTACTCCTGGCACGTTCCGTCCACTCAGCCCTGGACATCGGCCGAACTGTCCAGTAGTTCCGTCGGACGTGCAAAACAACGGGAGTCTGGACAAGGGGAGACAGTGTCCACCCTGATAGAAAGAACAAAGTCTAGCGCTTGCGAGAGTGGTGTTAGTAATGGTCATTCGCGTTGTTTGGATTTACATTCTAAGTCAGTTGGGAGTGGAAAAACAATTGCTTATCGAGAAGGGAGTCTTCGCAATGGTCCGTCTCTCTCTTTTCAAGAATCGTTGGCGTCCATAAACCACACTGGTCTTCTTTACGGAAATACGTCTGAGGGTGGAAGTAAAACATTCAACGGTGAAAAACCGTTCCTATCTGTCCCCGAACTTAAACTTGATCCAGCCGTTTCTGGTTGCGCTATCGGGACGGACCTATCTGTAAAAGGTAAAAGCAATAAACTCGTGACAGATAGCCAAAGTGGGTTAGTCGTACACTGCAAAGAGAAAGAAAAGGTCAGAAATAACGAACATGCGTCAAACGCCGCTGATTCTAAACTGGAATTGAAAGCTCGTCCAATTTCTCTATCCACTGATATGGAGAAGGGCAAAGCAGAGAACTTGTATACAGCTGGATACAAAAATCGGGAATCGAGGAAAGTTCCGAGAGAATCACAAGTGGAGGAAGGTGCATCAGCTAAAAGTAGGCACAATTGCCATGTGAAAAAGAATAGTTCATCTGATAAACATGCTGGACTGTTTAAAAGGTCTTGTGATTCAGGAGAGGTGAGGAACTGTCAGAAAAACGTCTCTGGGTGTGGCCATGACCGTGGAAGTTTGTCTGGAGGGAACCCCTCAATTTTCCAATCTACACCTGCGACGTTTATCACCAAAGACAACTGTTCTTTGGAGAAAAGCAAAACGTCAGGGAAATCCAAACCTTTAATTAAAGAAAAATCAGCAAACATTGAAGTCGTTCTGGATTCTTCAATCATTAATGACACTGAATCAAAGAAGGGTTCTAGTGGTAGTCATTTTGGTGGATCTACGCTAGCTAAGTATGGCGGCTCTGCGGAAGGGAAAACTCTCAAAGTCCCAGACTCTTACGACCAGATCGAGAGTTGTGAGACGCGGGGCCTCAAGCTGACGTTCAGGAGAAGATCTTCAGAGACGTCCCAACTACAGCACACCTCTTCCATCTCCACTACCTCTTCCTCCACCTCTAGCCTCCCCACCAACACTAGATTGCCGGAGCCACAGTCAGCAGCATCTCAGGACAACACCATTTCGTCCAACTCACACGGTGGAGGCGAGAAGTCTTCAAAGATGCGTCAGGATATCCCGAAATTGTTGGTTCAGAAAGACAAGAAATCGATGGCGTACAGTTTGCAGAATAGACGCTACGACCACCAACAGCACCTCGGGCCTGCCAAATTTCGCAAGAACGCCACTGTTAAGGAGACGGCGGAGGACACCCCTTCCTATACCATCGGCGACAGGCCCGGACCTTTATCGTTGAGTGCCGTGGCGTGTGACGCAAGGTGTGAAACTGAGGCCAAGGTACACGAGTCTAAGATAATCGGCGTGAACCTCAGTGATAGCATGAACCGAAGCAGTGAGAAAACGTGCACCTGCCAAGGGCGTTCTAACTGTCAAACCACTGAACAGGAAAGTCAAGTAATAAAATCTTCATCTTCATCGTCTTCGTTTTCTCGTTTTTCTTCAAAGTTGGAAAATAATTCTAAGTGCCCTTATCCTTCTGGACGCCTTGCGGATTGTAACATTGCTGTTATTTCTGAGACGTGTGATAGCAGCGCTGACCCAGTTGACCCGAGTGCACCTGTTTGTCGCCGCGTGTGGTGCGAAGGTAGCGCACAAGCTAGCGGTACATGTCGAGTCACTGAGTCAAGTCGTGCTGTCTTTACCACAGTGGGATCTGTGTACTCTGTCAGCAAGGATTGTTTCTCTGTTCATGGGACCGTCGACGAAACTGAAAAACTTGCTGCCATGAACACAGAGGTGGCGAAGACGAGGGACCGAGAAGGTGACGGAGGAGGAGTAGGAGGAGAAGGAGGAAGAGAAAGAGAGGGAGGAGGAGGAGGAGGAGGAGGAGAAGGAGGAGGAGGGGGAGGAATAGCAGAGGATGAAGCGATAGAAACGAAGGACATTTCCGACAACGGACACAATGCAACAACAACAACAGCAGCAGCAACAACAGCAGCAGCAGCAACAGCAAAAACAACAGCGACATGTCGCCGTTTAGCGAGTCTCGGTGTGACGTCAGAGATGTCAAACGGGTTGCGTCGTGCAAGCAGCTCCCCTTCCTTAACCTCTCACACGACGATCATCTCTTCAGTGTCAAGTAAGAACCTCAGCCATGACGATAACTGTAACTCCAGCAGTGGACGAACACCTCTGAGCGATGACCACGCTGAAGTCACGCACGACAATGATCAACAAATATTTGTCACAAGTACCAACGAATCTGCCAGCATCACCACCACAATCACCGCCGCCAGCGGAGGTTTCGACCATCGGCCTGTGAGACCTAAATCCTCCCCACCCATCTGTGGTCGAGATGTAGCGCATCCACCCTCGGCAGATGAGGACTCAAGCTCCAACACCAGGATGCCGGTGGTGTTGTTAGACCGCCTGCCCTCTCCTGTGGTGGAGCTGTACTCCATACTCGGAGACGCCAGAAGTCCCAGGTCCAGGTCTCACTCCGATTTCTCGGACGAGTTGTCTTCCCTTGAAATGGAGGAAGGAAATAGCTCTCGTGTCGGTGTCAGGAGGAGGTCGAAGAAAGACAGAAAGGCGGGTCAAAGGTCATGGCCGACTAAAAGTTTCAGTAACAACGACGAAGACCAAGACACTTACCAAAACAACCTTACTGACTCCGATTCTGACTCGCCGAAAAAGACTTCAGGAAAACTCAGATTTACTTACAAGAAAGTCTCATCTAAGAGGAAGAAGTACAGGATTAAATCAGACACCTCTTCGGCATCAGCATCTTTTTCGTCCGGCATGTCTGAAGACGATGAAATTGTTGATAACGATGAGGATGATATTGATGATGATAATGACGCTGCTGCTGGGGACGAAAAGCGGAAACAGATCTCCAAAGAAAGCAAATACTCGTTACGATTCCGGTTAAAGAAAAGAGGGTGTCCGGGATATACCCGACGTCCGAAATACTCGAGGAATTCCAAACAACGACGAATTCGTGATTCGGAAAAAGGGGACAACGTTATTGATCCGGATAATGAAACCAATGACTCTGAAGAGTGTATAGATTCACATGTGGTAAACGCTGAGGATGTTCAAAGCGAGGGAGATAGTGATTCAAAAACAGGACTTGAAATGACAGAACGTCAAAGCGGAAAAAATGGTGATGAAGGGTCGCTAGTGGATCCTAGAATAATGGCTATGTCTGCAGCACTGAAACAAGCTTGCCGAGGAAACAGAAACGGTCAAGAAATCGCCTTCACGGCAAAGAATAGAGGCAAAAACAACAGAGGACGCCCGAAGTCTAAACCAGGCCGGAGGTTCCTCAAGTCTAGCTCGTCCCCGTCCTCTACTGTCAGTGGCAAACGCCACGTATGTGTAGCGCCATCTAGGCGGTTATCCCAACCAGGAAGCGCCACCAAGAATACCGGAAGCCTAGCTAGAAAGCATAGCAAAGTTAAAAATCCATCCCAGAATAACCGTGCTGTATCCAAAAAAGAAGCACAGTTTTCAGACGGAGAAGAAATGACACCCTGTGGTCGTCAGCGAGTAGATTGCTTTTCAGACAGGCCGGAAACGAGCAGGAAAACATTCAAAAACACTTTCCGCACTTCTTCTAAGCGGATTAATCGTCGGCGAAATTATCATTCCGTTCTTTATTCAGAAGAAAGTGAACATGAAGTGCAACGAAACCAGAACCAAAAGCCCAATGGCGTCGATTCGTCACCCTCTCAATCTATCGAAGATAACGATGGGACTATTCCAGAAGGGTCTAAAAATAATTTACTACCTTCACTCGATCGAGATTCTTATCTCGGACAACCTACAAGAAAACCGTCAGACAAGTTCCACAGAAATATTTTCGATACGAAAATTTTCCGAGATTCTGTGAACATGTTTCCTAAAACTGAAGATGACAAAGGCAGACGATCGGGGAGACAAGATAGAGGTCCTCCAACACCTACAACTTCAACATTTGTCGGATATAACCAAGACGCTTGCAGTGGAAGAGATAATGAAGATGCCAATGGGGTTCAGAGGCAGACCTCTGTCCTTCCAGATGACAAATTCTCTGTGAGTAAAGAAGAATCTAAACTTATGAATGCGTCGTCTTTTCAAGAACCGAGAAAGTGCAAATGTAAATGCAGTTGTGGAGATTCTGGCTCGTCAGTGCCTGTCAAAGAACAAAACGACGGAAACGAACCTTTGCAAGCCAAAGAAGAAACTGATGGCGTTGGTGAAATGGTACAGAAAAAAGAGATAAGAGATTCATCCCAAGACGCTCGTCCAAAAATAGAAACATCTGAGTATGGTGACATGTCATCAAGAAATATATTTGTCTCAGAAAGTCATAGCAACTGCAAGGTGTCTCCGGTTAAACTAGAATGCGCCTCTCCACCGCGGCAAGAAAATGACGGTGGTCCAGTAGTTAGCGTCACTGGTCGAGGAGATGCAGGTCGTGAAGGGCGAGGGATCAAAGACGAGGTCCCCAGAGACACAGACCTAATGGGGCTGGATTACACTCAAGAAAGCTCTGCTGTACACACAGACGGAAATTCTGACGTCTTGCGAAGCTCAGAAAATGGCGTTGGTGTTGCTAGGAGCAACGGAGAGGATGGGGGGAGTAGCGCTCCTGTATCTGCTGACATCCCCATGTCTGTTATGGAGCACGCTAAACTGTGGGCCTCTCAGCCCCCACAGTCGTTCCAGCCGGTGGTTATTCGCAACACTTCAGACGATAATTTTAGCTTCATGATCCCGAGAATGCCGGCGTTTGACGGGCCGGGGACGATTAACAACCCCTTAATCACTCCTAATCTCACAAACTCTTTCCCTGGAATGTTCAACATGCATCAAACGTCACTGAATGTTGAGGATATTTTCCGTAATCACCACAGCTCTTCTGCGGCGGTGCCCCCGACACTGTCTGGGAATTCTCCGAGAGTGGGTGGTATTGGTGAATACGGCTCTCTTCCCTCTCAGAGCGAGTCTGCAGAGAATTCAACAGGCTCTTCAGTGGAAATACCGACAACCACGCTGGACACAGGAGTACCAACACCTCTTTTGGATACAAAAACACCAACAACGCTTTTGGGTACAAAAGTATCGACAAGTGTTTTGGATACTTCGACAAGCACGCTGTCTACTTCACATGACGCCTCTGTCTCCGTGAAAGAACAGTCCGGCACTAGCTCCGCCACCCCTCCCCACACAGCAGAGATGTTCTCGAAGCCTCTGTCTATCCAGATCTCCGCCTCTCCGGCTAACTCTGACTACGGATCCCCTCCAAACATTACATCGTGCTGCTCGTCCACCTCCCCGCGCTGCTGGCAGCACCACCACCCGACGTGCCAGCGACGTGGAAATCATACGCCTCTTTCGAGACCAGATAGACCATCGCCTTCTTCGGCGAGTCGAACCACTGACCTTCCAGAGCCATTGCCCGGGGCTGCCGTGTCGAGTACTGAGAATGCATCTTTGACGATACCCAAGATAACTATAAGTACCCCTTCTTCGCCGTCTGGTTCGTCACGAAGTGGTAACGTCACGCCTCTAACGGCCTCCCCATCAACCTCGTGCTTCGTGAGTCCAAGCTTACCCAGGCATCAGCACGGCAAAAATCGTTCACGATCTTCATCGCCATTCACAAAGGCACCGAATAATCTTCTCAGCCCGGTTTGTGGCTCGAAAAAGTACAACAGTGAACGCTCTGGTGCAGCTAAAACCACAACCAACTCGTCATCACAAAACCATAGCCCCAAACAGGGGAGAGAATTCCCTCCTCGAGGAAGATCCAACTCGAATGTGACGTCGCACTATTCTCCGAGTCTTGTTCGAAGCACTCGAGGAATGCTTTCCCCTAGGAAATCGCCGAGGAGGTGTCGGTACTGCGAGGAGACTGCCGATAGCGATGATAGCGAGGCTACTCTAGTCTATCCTCGAGCTGACAACAGGAAGACGCTTGGGGGTCGACGGACATACTCGAGGCGGTCATCCATCGGCGTGGCGTCAACGTGCATGAGTGAAGGGTCTTGTGCAGGGTCGTTGAAAAGCCCAGGAAGTTCTTTTCCTCCGGGGGGAGAAAAACAGAGCAGCAGCGGTGAGACGCATAACTCTGGGGCAGCGTCAGCCCTGGAGAAACGAACATCCGAATTATCGATACTCGTGTCAGATCTCAGAGAAAATATCTCCAAGACGAAAGCCATGAAGAGAAGCAGAAGGACCAACTCCTTCTCGGGTGGAAATAAACCCAAACTCTCAGATCCGGATATCTGTGCCAGGCTCTCGACAAGACCAACCTTTGAACGGTTCATGTCAATCGAGCCTTCTATGGATAGCGACACGCCCTACGCTAGAATAACACGTGACATGGAGGAAGATGATCATAAAGAAGGTTCCCATGACATGTACATGATTCGGTTTGCGTCTTCTTTGGATTTGGTACCGAAAGGAAGCCTAGCCCGATCCGGCAGTGTGTCTGACCACAGTCTAGCAGAAACCCGGATTTATGGTGCCGAGGATCGGATATTCGGTACGGACGACCGGATAACCGGTACCGAGGATCATATTAACGGTTCTGAGTCTAATCAAAATAGACCAGGCAGCCAGTCTCCGGGGTCTGTCTGTACTAGCAATGACGTCTCAGCCAAGGACTCCCAACATCCGACAAGAGCAAATGAAGAGTCTTCCAAATCTGGTAAGGGAAGACATGATGATCAGAACAAAGAAAGAAGAAACAACCCTGGAGATCCGGACACAGCTGCGACACGTGAAAACGTCAGAGACAGTTGTGCTGCAAAACAAGCATCAGAGGCGGAGGAAGAGGAAAACGAAACTGATCCGCTGGTGGTGATCGAGAACGCAGAATCTGACGACGTCATAGAGGGTCAAGAGGCTATAAATAAAGTGAGCGCGGGGCGGTATAAACTCCCCACAGGAGTTAAACTCAGATCGTGTAGGTCTGCGCTACAGGGAAAGCATCGACTCAAGATTTCTGTCAATTCTTTATTCTCACGTAAAGGAGGAGGGGGAGGAGGAAAAGGCAGTTCATATCACAACTACAACTACCACCACCACCACCACCATCATCATCACCATCACCTTCTGAGCCCGCACAATCGGCCGAAGAAATCAGCCGTGAGAAAAAGGAAAAATGCGAAGCCTCCAAAAAAGCTGAAGAAAGGGCCATCCCCTCCTTCCTCCTCATTGTCCATCCCATGCACAACTGGCGAAGTGAAAGCGACTGAAAATACACACATGAGGAGGGATGACTCTGATGGGAAAAGGGAAGAAAGTCAAAAGCAGGATAATACAAGTGTTGTGAATTCTGGGAAGGCTGCAGTTCGAACTCATTATGGTAAGAGGAAAAACAAAAGCCCTAACTTACGCCAGACGAAAATCTCTGTGAGTAATTCCAAGACTGGAACCGTAAAGAAGAACCGAGGCGAAGGAAACAGCGAAACGAATAAAAGGAAGGACGGAGAAGAACGACGAAGGAAAAGCAGGGGTGAGTTTTTAACTGTTTCGTATTTTGTCTGTCTGTCTGTCTGTCTGTCTGTCTGTCTGTCTGTCTGTCTGTCTGTCTGTCTGTCTGTCTCTCTGTCTGTCTGTCTCTCTGTCTGTCTGTCCATCTACCTGTTTCAGTGTTTTGATTTTTTCTTTGTAACTTTTGCATCTATATTATTCTACGTTTCTATGGTTGTCTGCTTTCCGTCTGGCTGATCCTGTGTGTCATTTTGTCTGACTCTGTCTGACTCTGTCTGACTCTGTCTGACTCTGTCTGTCCTTTTGTCTGTCTCTGTTTGTCTCTGTTTGTCCCTTTGTATGTCTCTATCTCTGACCGTCTCTGTCTCTGTCTGTCTCTTTCTGTTTCTGTCTGTCTCTGTCCATGTCTGTCTCTGTCCATGTCCGTCTTGTACCTGTCTGTCCTATAAGCAGACCGACTCTGGGATGGATCCTGAAAAGGAGGGGGGGGGGGAGCAGAGATGGACATGTTCCGACTACAGTGACCCCAACACAGTGGACAAGAATCTAAGAACAAGATCCTGTCTGTCCTTGTGTATCTGTATCTGCTTGTCTATTTGTCTTTCTCTGACCATGCCTGCCTCTTTGTCTGTCTACATTCTTGTCTGTCTGTCTGTCTC